TTTTCAATTCACTTCCATTATCCCTTAAGTTGGAACTAAGCCTTTCAAAATTCAAAAAACAATACAAACATAAATTGCAAAGTATAACCTGTTATAGCGTCCAAGAATTCCTGAAATATTTTGAAAGCTCTGATTTGTAATTAATATTGTATATATTAGAAGTGGTCGAAACGTACAACTTATTCTATTAGCACGCCGTCTCATCGTTGTATCGCTTAACACGCCATGTTCAGACGCGATTATCCTAGGCTCTCCACCAATAGAAATAATTTTTAATTATTTCATAGTCTAGTTTTAATCAATATTAATGACATATTTTAAGCATAGATCTGCCACCACCTAGGTTGTTATCGTAGAAGTGGTAGAAACTTACAACTTATTCTATCAGCACGCCGTCTTTCACTTAACACAGCATATTCACACGGGATTATCCAAGGCTCTCCACCTATAGAAATCATTTATATTTGTTTAAAAGTCTAGTTTCAATGACCATTAGTAACATATTTTAAGCTTAGATCTACCACCACCTAGGTTGTTACCGTAGAAGTGGTCAAAACTTAGAACTTATTCCATTAGGACGCCGTCTATCACTTAACACAGCATGTTCACACGGGATTATCCAAGGCCCACCTATAGAAATCATTTATATTTGTTCCACTGTCTCGTTTCAAAACTATTCATACGCACACATTTTAATCTTACATCTGCCCCCTCTCCTTCAAGGATTCTTGTTGGGAAAAAATAAATTTCCATATAGCCAGTTCAGGGCCGCCTGGATAGGTTGTGGGTATTAGTTATCTTCATATGAATTCTCTGAACACTTGTCATTGAAACTGGTGAGTTTCAATGAAAAATTAAAGCAGGTATTTTATTGTAAAATAATTTAAAGAATGCATAATAGATACTATAATAGATGTTATACGTGTAGAGGTTTCATGTTTAAACTATTTCTGCGTAAATGTTATATTAAACACATGTATAAAGCTATTTCTTTAAATGTATATTAGTATGACACTTTAAGATTTAAAATTGAAAATCCAAATTAATGGAAAATAGCAGTCACGAAAGTAGTTCAACAGTTATGTTTTAAAATTAATTTCCAGTCTAGATCCAGAGCTGTTATAATCAATATGATAAATAGGTTATACAACTTTATAAATCCGACATACAGCTAATTTTTTAGGGTCGTTTACATGTTTCGGCTTATATCGGCCATTGTCAAAACGTTGCAGTAGGATAATGAAATCCTGTCATTGTTTTCTACTGAAAGTACATACACAAACACACATACACGGAAGGAACGAAGACATTACGAATAACACTTTAAATAAGCCTATTACGTAAAATACACGGGCAGGACGCACACCTATTAGTCATGCTTTAATAATGCTATAAGTGTCGAAGGCATTTCCACGAAGGGCTGGTCTCTCTGGATGTTTTAGTGAAGCATCCCCGGTTTGCATTTTTGGACGCCAAGAGGGCCATGACCTGTCAAAACATCCACAGTCATTTTTGTTTAAGACTACTTAATCATATGAAATATTGCAGAGAGCTCATATAAATTCATATAATAATCATCGGGGACAAGGAAAACTAAGTATAACATAGAAATTGTTATCAGTGTTTTGCAATTTTGTTATAAAATAGAATGTCTGTGAGTAGCCTGTATTTAGTGGATTACTGACCAAGTCAATGGGTAAAAGTCTGGGATAGAAGGAAATAACATTATGGATGTGAAAGTTACGCTTTACGTGAAATTCTTTTTAAATAAAGTGAAAACTACTGGATCAAATGAGCGGGATTTTCTACATATAAAACCAATTTACCGTAATGATCATACGTTTTCAATTGTCTTCTCGTAGTTAAACAGGACTTTCACACTGCTTCACTGGCAATAGGGTTTTTTATTCAAACATGACCAAAATGTTAATGTACGGGAATTATGTGCAATTTTTCTGATGACGAATGGTTGAATTGCGAGACTGGTGCCTCGCATGTTAGATTTGTCATGACGGATATGAACGACAGTTTCTGTGGAGGTTTTTTTAGTGTTAAATTGAATCGGCGTCCTGTTTTTGCTCATACTGACATTATTTTTATTTAGAATTGAGGGTCAATTCCCGGAATTCCCACAGTGACGATTCGTATGCGTCTCAACAACTGTTGTATATGATTTGTTAATTTCTAATAACAAATGGTTGTGGTATCTGTTATAAAATAACAAAGGAGTATAGTTTAATCAATTATCTTTACTTATTTAATACAGTTCCCCATCAGCTCATTATCTATTAGAAAACACGTTATCTTAAAAAAAATACGTGTTGATAATGTTGTAATTTTAGTACTGAAATGAGCCACTAAGTTATGGTTTCTAAAATCCTGTGAAAAAAACGTTGCTAATTTCTTTAGTGTGCAGTTGTGCAGACCTGCAATTCAAGCGTAGAACATGACATTCTTAGGATTTATTCAATTAGCTCATCGTTGTATCGCTAACCACGCCATGTTCAGTCGGGATTATCCAAGGCTCTCCACCTATAGAAATCATTTTTAATTTTTTAATGGTCTAGTTCCAATAACTATTAATAACATATTTTACAACATCTGCCACCACCTAGGTTATTGCAATAGAAGTCGTTAAAACTTACGATTAATTCTATTAGCGCACCGTCGCCACCAGTCTATGACTTAACACGCAATGTTCTCACTGAGTTATGCCATCACAACATGTTTAAAATACGCTTTCAAAAATGTCAAGACTATAACAATTTTAACATTACATTTCATAAGTTCTTAGTTTTTGAAACATAATTTAATCGGAAGGATGATATCAAATAGATTATTTAGTCGTCTCAATGTGAGACGGGGAAACTAGTAATTTACCTCTTGAGTGTTAAGCTTACCGTCTATCACTTAACACGCCATGTTCAGACGCGATTATCCAAGACTCTCCACCTATAGAAATCATTTATATTTGTTTCAAAGTCTAGTTTCAATAACCATTAATATCCTTATTTAAGCTTAGACCTGCCACCACCTAGGTTGTTACTGTAGAAGTCGCCGAAACTTATGATTTATTCAATTAGCTCATCGTTGTATCGCTTAACACGCCATGTTCAGACGCGATTATCCAAGGCTCTCCACCAATGGAAATTATTTTTAATTGTTTCATAGTCTAGTTTTACTAACTATTAATGACATATTTTAACCATAGATCTGCCACCACCTAGGTTGTTGCTATAGAAGTGGTCGAAACTTTAGGTTTATTTAACAACTAATCGTTGTATCACTTAACACGCCATGTTCAAAAGGGATTATCCAAGGCTCTCCACCTCTATAAATCAATTTTAATTGTTTCATGGTCTAGTTCCAATAACTATTTAAGACATATTTTAAGCTTAGATCTGCCACCACCTAGGTTGTTGTTGTAGAAGTCGTCGAAACTTCGGACTTATTCAATTAGCTCATCGTTGTATCACTTAACACGTCGTGTTCAGACGGGATTATCCAAGGCTCTCCACCTATATAAATCATTTTTAATTCTTTCATGGTCTAGTTCCAATAACTATTAATAACATATTTTACATCTAACATCTGCCACCACCTAGGTTGTTGCTATAGAAGTAGTTAAAATGTACGATTTATTCTATTAGCGCACTGTCCACCCGTCTATCACTTAACACGAAATGTTCACACGGGGTTTTCCAAGGTTCTCCACATATAGAAATGATTTATAGTTGTTTGATGTGTTATTCCTTTACTAATAAAATGGTTTATGTGTTAATAATATTACCCATTTGTTAGTCAATCTCTATACTGTTTTTGAAGTCTTTAGACCTTTTTAAGGGTATAATTTAGTGCATTTGTTCATAGGGCAAATGCCTATTACCTTACTTACGGTACGTGGCACGGTTAAGAACTCGACATAAAACCACAATTCGTTTGAATTGTTGTATGTGTGTATACACGTACGTGAACGCAATAACTTGAGTAATCTTTGTCCGACTTTGATAACATTTGGTTTTTGAGATGTAGGTTGGGATACACTTCATTATGAGTTGGCGAACCAGCATGATTGGACCATAAAAGGAGCAGGGGTTTTGATATAAAAACTCTTGACACTTTCCAGAAAGTTATAATAATAATGTCACACATAATGTAATAATAATCATAATGTAATTTACATACAATAATAATTGTAATACATTTTTTTAACTTATTTACTGGTAGCCAAAACAATACCCGTATCAACTAAAAATACCAAAATTATGAATGATAAATAATAATTTAGTTAGTTGGGAGCTGTACATTTCTAATTTAAGTTCAAGCTAATTTTCAGTTCTGGGTGTATTTCAATAAGGCCATCCACCTATCCAGGTAAATTCTTACTCATATGTTTTGGGAGTTCAGCGTTCAGCTAAGTGGTATGCATCTCGAGTTGGATGTTTTGAATCTTTACATTCCACTTAGGCTTAGGTCGCATTGCTATTTCTCCTCCCTACCCTACCTGGGACCTGGATTCTTTTCAATACCAAATGTTTTTCATCATTTCTAATATAAATAATAAACGGTATCAGCATTCTGACACATACTTTCTCCCATAAGTTTCTAATATAAATAATAATATGTGAATTATTATGTAGAAGTGAAGAATATAAATAATAAACGGTATCAGCATTCTGACACATACTTTCTCCCATAAGTTTCTAATATAAATAATAATATGTGAATTATTATGTAGAAGTGAAGTAGTCCTAAACAATTTACATATTTAACACGAAAACATACATCAGTTATACAGATACATACATACAACGTGGTCTAAACGATGAAATTAATAATGTTTAATTTAATCAAAATATAAAATAGCAAACTACATTTTTCCAAATGTATCCTATCCATATGGAGGTCTACTATGTTTTGAATTCCGTCCAGTTACCACTCGGCCTGTCATAAATCAAATGGGCAAAAAAACAGGTCGTCAGATGGACCGTCAGCTATCTTCAGCCTGGTAACTTATCAAACCATTTAATAAATTCTCAGTTTGTGATTTTGGTAATTAACGTAAATACTTGCAGTGGTGATCTACATTTTATTGTGACATAAATGAATTCAAAGGTACTAATAGGAGCTTTACTTTGTACGTAACTTAGAGGAACATTTTTAGGTTAGTTCAATTTTTGAGTGTAGGCAACCCCCCCAATTTTTATGTAAGTTAGTAGCCCTGGTAGGCAACAATAATTTGATGACACTAGAAACACAGTAAAAGCACAGAAAACATACTACTATGTTTTCTGTGGTAAAAGTTAATTTAATATACCAATATTGACCACGTATTTATTTCGAAAACTAATGAAGTTGCCTACAGTTTGCGAAGGCGTAGGAGTAAACAGTCTTATAGGCTACTGTTTACTCACAGGACGGTAAATTACATATTAACTTAAAGATGGTAGGCCTAAGTGGTGATCAGACGATTTTTATAGGACACTCCAATCATCATCAGACCCAATAGGCGAATGCCAATTTAGGCCTACCATCTTGTGAGTAAACAGTAGCCTATAGGCCTAAGTGTAACTTAATGATATTACATAGGCTAGGGTATTACCCTTTAAGTGTTATTTGACGTATTTCTTGTGCTCCCAGGTAAATTAAGTTTAATAACACGTAACTTACGATGCTGATTAAGAAGTTATATTACCGGTAGCTTATTAAGTTAGTCGAAATAACTTATTAAGTAAGTTAATTTAAGTTATCGTAGGATATCAATCTATTGTTTGTACCTATTGAATATGACGGTTTTAAGACGGTCTAGTGAGTGGTCTTCAAGAAGACTTTTCACTTTCACACTGTAATGCAGCGGTTAGCCTATGTTGGGTGAGTTTGGTTCATTTTGGGTTCAGTTCCACAGAGATCCTACGTTTAGGTTAGGTTTCCACAGAGAACCTACGATATGTTATCGGATGAATAATGATACAGGCCTATATAGGCCCCTATCGAAACTTGTTTCTTTTGATATAGGCCTATCATAATATACATAATTTTCTTCTATTGTAACCATTGATTTCAAAATTGGTTTAGGCTAGTTAGCCTATGGTATGTTTTTATCTTATATTTAACCCTCCCAGTGTTACTTGACGAAAATTCGACAAGCAGCACACTTTGTGTAGTGTTACTTGTCGATTTTTCGACACGCAGACATCGTTTACGGCGAAGGCTCTATGACTGACTGAATCGGATTGAACTGGATCGAGTTAGGTATCGTTCTTTCCGTAATATTCTAAGCTTTCTCCAGAGGTCTGTCTCTAAGCGCTATTCATTTTAGTTCCGAAAATATTGTAGCAGACAGCTGACGTGCGTGTATTTGTAAACAGCTAGGTTCCCCCGGACCGATGACTGATGTGTTTTATTACGTTTATCATTGTTTTAGTGTTAAAAATCAAAAGTAGTGATATACGTGGTGCATTATAAGAAGATTTAAGTGGTTTTGAAGTGCTGGTTGATGATCCTGAAGAAGTAGGTAGTGATATTGATGTAAATTATCAGCCAGATTCCTAGCTATGGTTAGGCTATGCATTCTTAGCTAAACGCTATGTAGGGTCAACCGGGGCTAATATGAACACACCAAAATATTGGGGCTAATATGAACAATGACTTAAAAAGTCATTTATCTGGGATTTTTAATCATGAAAAAAATATAGTTAGAAAGGAAATTTATTGTATTTTTTGTGTCCATAATGAGAAAACTTCAAATTTGACTTTTAGGTACTTTAAAAAAATACTTTGTTAAAACACTTTTTTTCCGCCCAAAAAACTTTTCCGCGCAAAGTGAAAACTTTTGTTATAACAATTTTTACATTGGTTGTAGGAATAATCTTAAGCCTGAATTTTGTTAAATGAGAATTGGGGATTATTTTTCTTTTCCCAAAGTTAAAATATATTAATAACAGCCAAAGTTATAAGCTTTCAAAGTTGGGGGGCTAATGTGAACAGTGAATGGGGGCTATTGTGAACATGCCATGTACATCTGCCACAGCACGACTGCATACTTTACCTATAGGACCTCCTCAAGATAGGCCTATCACAAACAGTCCTAGAAATGAACCTGAACGTTCTACTGGTAGTCCTTCAACACCTATTGCTGCTACAGTAAACCCAGGATCCTTTGAGAGCTTACTGCTACAGAAAATAAACAGAACTGAAGCACCAAAGAAACAACGTCGAAAAGTTGATACTCGATCAAAGGTAATCACGAGTGAAGAATGGATTAAAATTACCACCGAGCAGATTAAAAATGATGCAAAAAACAACAAACCAAAAGGAACTGGGCCTAAAAACGTTGACCTAAAGCGGAAGGAAGCAGCACAAGAAAATAGGCCTACTAAACCTAGATGCAAAGGGTTAAAATTTGTTAAAGAATACAAAAGAATTAGGCCTAAATTCCGCATTGAGAGCAGGTCAGTGAGGACAGTCTAGGAGTAGCAGATTTGAACGACATAATTCAACCCTCAGAATTAGATTATCAAGATCTAGACAGCCCAGAAAATCTAAAGGTTGGTGACTTCATTTTAGTAAAATGCAAAGGTGGAAGCCGCCAAAGTACCACCTTCCGCTATGTCGCTACAGTGTTAAAACACTGGCTGACGGGGAGATCGAAGTGATGGGATTTAAATCCTGTGATGAGGAAAAAAATCATCCCTGAAAAAAGAAGATGATATATTTATTGTTTCTACCACTGACATTTTGGGGAAACTTCCAGCCCCCCAGCCCCTAATGTATGTGGAACCAGTGATAGACATAAGTATGTCTTCGAAAAAATTGTCGAAGTTTTTGAGGCGTAAGTTCCTCAATAAACTTCTTTGAAGGCCTTACAGTGATAAAACAGTTTTAATTTTACAAAGACAACAGTTAAGGTGTTGAATAGGCCTAGCCCACATTTTTATATTTACCTAATAGGCCTAAAAGTGCAATAAACTGTCATTTGCCTAAACAAACAATTTGCATTGTCTTAAATTATTGTTTTTTTAAGTGCTTTAAACAATTTGTATGTGGAAGAAATTTTTAATAAATACTCAGGTATGTTGGCAGATAATTTTTTTCTTGTTTATATCTTATTATTAGCCCTGTATAATATTTATAAATGGTTTAAAAAAAAAGGGTTACCGTTGGGCGACCCGCGGCTCTCCAAAGATACCTTCATATCTCAAAAACTATTTAAGATAAAATATTGAGACTTATTGCAACTGGTAGACTAGACCCTAGGCTTGTTCACAACAGCCCCAACATATGCCTAGTGTTGTAAATAACAGAGTTATTAAGAGTGTTCACATTAGCCCCATGGGCTGTTCACATTAGCCCCTTTTAGCGGGGCTAATGTGAACAGTGGTTTTTAATTTTTTTTTAAATAATGGTTACATTTATGGTTTTTGTTAGTAAATAAATAGATTCAGTTAAAAGATCTGTATACACTACTATTTTTTCTTTTCTTCTGTCATTTACCATTTTTGAGTTAATGTCAAAAGTTTACTTTTTTTGTTCATATTAGCCCCGGTTGACCCTACTGAAATCAGTTTTTTGCCCATAACTTATTTATTTGCAAATATACTTCCTTATATTATTATATATTTGTAATCCTCATAAAATTTAGAACTAAGTGGCTATTTTCAAATATTTATAGGCCTATAATTTATACAATTTCATTGAGCGCGAACTTATTTTTTTTTTTGAAAATTTTCGAAATTATATTTTTTTTACCTAAAATTTTTTTTTTTGAAAAAATGTTCCTTATGTTTTATATATAATATTGAAGCCCATGATTTTCCAAACAAAATAGTATATAGAACATTAGAATTAACATTGTTTTAAGCTTCTCAGATCCGTTTTAATAAAACCTTGCAAATGCGCCAAAAATAGGTGGACATTAAGGCCTAAACTATGGACACTTGGAGGGTTAACTAAGCCTAATAAACTAACTCATCAATAAAAACCATAGGCCTAAGTTAACCACATTTTTTGTATTATAGTTCGGCCGCTTAGAAAGCGACCTCCTCCAGCATTGGTTTAGCATTAGCGCGCAGGTCGTTTTCTAAGCGGCCGAACTATAGAAAAGTAACTAAACAATCAATAACTTAACACAGCCAAAAGATAAATTAAGTTAATCATAGGCTAACTTAAAAATGTTGAAATTATGAACTAAAAACCTACAACCCATTTCTTCCATTTTTAATCTTCTTTACTTAAGTGGGAAGAGTTCTTTATTAGGTATGGGGAGAGTGGGGCACATTTTAACACTTTTTAAACTTTAATTTTTTAATAGGTGAATTTATGTGTTTTTAATAAAAACATTATTAGGCCTACATTTAGTCGTAACATAATGTTAGCTTTAATTTAGTTATTTTTTTTAACCCTCCAAGTTAACATGTTAAGTTAATGTGCAATATCTGTTTTCACCAAGGTACCGGTATGAAAATCGTTCAAAACAATAAGAAGTGGGGTACAATTGAAAACACTAATTAAGTAGCCTAAAATGAAAATTTTTTACAGAAATTGTTATACATGTGAGTTGATAAAAACACTTCTTATTTCTATTGAAATTATTTATTTAATGTTGTAGATTCACATTATTTGTAGCGAAATGTTGCAAAGTTGATAGCAAAATTATATTCGTTCGCTGCACGTTCAGTTCTCATGCTCATTGTTGATTGAGGAAGCTTATAGTATTAAATTATTAATAATCATTACTGTATTGTATAGGCAACAAATATAATCAGTTTTGGTACATTTGAACAACATGCTTACCAGAAGAAAACATGGTGTTCAAATCCACCCCATTAGGCACCATTTTGCAAAAAGTTAAATTTGTTTTCTTGAATTGTAATTTATCAATGTGAAATGCATAATTGTATCTATATATGTATTTGCCATAAGGTAAATGGATCAAACTTATCTGTAACATAGTTTTTCTATGGAAAATGTACAAATCCATACTGCTAAAAAAGTTTTCTTGTGGCGCTCTAAAACTTCTTTTCCCAACAACAAACTGAGAACTGATCAGAAATGAAGGGAGATGAATGCAACCTGTTGTCCTGTTGGAGGGCTACATTTTACAGCTGGTTCAATGGCCTGCGATTATAAAAATGACGGAAAATTTAAACCGTTCAAATGTGCCCCATCCTCCCGGCCGCTCGTATCGTACCCGGGGCCTGGCCTCAGGTACGATACAAGTGGCAAGCGGCCCTTATTCATACCATAATATATCTTAGGTTCTCTGTGCAAGTGTAACTTGCCCTATGATTATATAACAAACAAGGTAGAATTTAATACAAACAGTTTATAAGCTAGATCTATGTTGTTTAATTTGAGAGATAAATTTAGAAAAAACCTAAATTTGTATTGGTACATCCTCTTGAATGAGTTTAGGAAAAGGTTAATTTTGTAACCTTGTTTATAATTATCATAAGTTAAACTAGGGTATACTAACCTAACCTAAATGCTCTCAGCTCACTGTAAGACTGGTAGGTGATAGGTGACCCTCAATGGATATATCCTGGATATACCACATCACAGGCTAGCCATCACAGGTAATTCTTTCAAACTTAACTGTGTGAAATTTTATAATAAGCTGCCTCAGCCTCTTCAGGCAGACAGCCTTTCTCTTCCTCTTTTCAAATCCAAAATGCATAACTGGCTATAAACATACCAAGAACAAAATAACCTGCGCAGAAACGAAAAGATCCCGTGGTTCGCGCAGGTAGGTGTGGCGTTCCATTCAAACCTGCGCAGCTCGAAACGGTCCAGGGTTCTTTTGTTTCTGGTATTACTATAGTAGCAAATCCGTTCTACTCAGTTAAGGACTTTTTGAAACATAAAATTACAATGGAATCATTCATACTGTAGATTAGGAATTCTCAATCTTTGTTACCTATAGATACTGTATAACATACTTGTTGATATTTTGTTTAATGTAATTTGACAATGCCTATTCCTGTGTACAAATTTGGTCAATGGCAATAAACTTTCTTATTCTTATTCTTATTCTTATAATGTACCTACATGTAAAAATGTAGGCAGTGGGTTTCTAAAGCTTGCTTTTAATTGTAAAATTTCACGAACGGTTATTTAACATAGTAAGTCAATGGTAATTTAATGTTTATTACCGTGGTGAAAATTAGGAAAGGAACTTTGAAGTTTCAATTTTTAGTCCAATAAATGGTTTGTGACTAAGTGATTTTAACATTTCCTTCTTTTTAAAAGTAAAGTTTGTTTTCAGATAATTTTATGTCCATATAAATATGGGGAAGCATGAGGATTGTAAGTATATGGAAAGACTTAAAGAAGATTTGAATGAAACCTGCGACAATACTGCTAACGTGGATTTTACAGGTTGGCTTATATTATTGTTGTGTATTTTTTTTATATTTTTCACTATTGTATAGGCCTAATAATATGGGAAGTCTAACTTACTTGTAGGCCTACTATTTAAAGTTGATCTATCAATTTTGATTATGAACGGTGCTGGTGAGATAAATTAATTTAGGACTACAAGTTATTATTCTAAGTGCAAAGCCATTTACTTTGAATAAAACAAGTATTGACCATTCATTTGGTGTGATTATATAATTAATGGTCTACCAAGTTAACACAGCTGTTCCTGTTGCTAAGGAAACCCAGAGCAAACTACTAACTTTAAGAACATAGCCTAAAATCCAAATAGCCTATCAATTTTAATACTTACTTCCTTAGTAAAAAACAAATTACAATTTTAACGGATTTTTCTTGTGTGATAACAAGGAGTAAATTTCTTTACTGTAATGTGGTTACTCAACCTAACCGTTTTGTCATTTTTGTTTTCTGTATCTGCAGAATCTGTCTGCAAATTACCAAATACAAGTACAGTGTTATTTCGCAACATAGACCTTCATAGAAAGTACTGCTGGAGTCGAGAAGAGCTGGCTTTGTTATATACTCGGAGAGCCATGATGGAATTGGTTCCTCGGCAAATTCCTCACAATATTCCTCTTTTACTCGAATACATTCATATCTGCTTGACCACCCTTAAAGAAATTGTACCTTCAAAAACAGTTTACGATTATATGGTTGCTGCCCTTGCAGACGTTTTTGGCGGTTATTTGCAAACTTATGGTTTGCCTCTTTTGAACGAAGCATACTATGAAGGATACGTTTCTTATGATAATGCTGCAGAATTTTATAGAGTGCAAGAGAACTTCAAAGGAATTCTTATGACGAACGGTGATGGGTGGACAAAACCGATGGAGGTCAGAAAACACATCAACAGAATTCTACCTCTCAAACTCCCAGCAAAGCCCTCCTCAAAACCATGTAACCTCCTTTACGCTGAGAGTATTGGTGCTTGCTCGAAAACCGGTGATGAATTTCCCATCGACAACCAATCAAAAACACTAATACCTCTTCCCATACTGGATGACAACAGTAAGCCAAACTCTATTGCAATACCTTTCAAAAACCGAGCTCTGTTTAATTTGAAAAGCAGGAACTCTTACGATATTTTGATCAAATACTACATCGAAGCATCCAGTTGTCTCACACAGTCGCAGAAAGGAATGGAACAATCCGAGTTTGACAGAGTATTATCAAACTGGCTTAAAACAAAAATATTGCCTCATTTGAAAGATGAAACCTGGTATGTCGGATTCAGCAATGTTCTGCGAATAGAAGAAACAATACAGCAAAGGTCAGGAATCATAGCTACGAGTCATAAAGATGAAGAGGAGTCGTTGTTTGCTGAGCTTGAAAGTGAGGCACAACTAACAAAAGCTACTTACATTGCTATTATTCTCATACTACTACTTTCGATATTGTTCATTTGTTTTCTGTACTGGGCGTTCATAAGGAGCTGTCTTTGTTGCTGCAGACGTTCCGACTATGATTCGCAGAAAGATTCTCAGTACGGAACGAGCACCACTTCACTAGTGACCAACTCTGATAGCTACTCCCACACTTCCTCTGCTAACGGCAGCGAATATAATGGACGAGTTTGCCATCATGGCCAAGCGCAAGACAATCATTGTGGCTCTCATCGCTCGCCCGGTGGAAGAAACCAATCACAAGAAAGTCGACTTACTATGAGTTGTGGTTTGGGAAAAGGGCTTTTACCTTCAAAGTATCGCAGGCATCATTAGATACAAAATTTGAGAAACTATCAGTTGCAATAAAAAGTGTACTCAAATAATAAATTTAAAGGTAAAAATAGATTACAAGAAAGTTGACTCACTAGGGCCTATATGAGTTTTGTAGTCTGAAAAATGGGTTTTCCAAAGAATCGCATGCATCATAAGCTAAAATGTTTTAAAATTATTAGCTGTAATAAAAATGTACTTTGAAATAAAAAATAATCACTTTTTTGTTTGATTTACCTAATTTAGGCTAAAGACAATTGATTATTAAAAATGTCCAAACTTTTAGATTAGTTTAAACAAATAAACAGTTCATTAGGTCATATTTGTTTGCCCTTTAATCACCACGGCATTTAAGTGTTTAATGCAGTTCTTTGTCTTCCATTTCATTCTTTATACTAGACTAAACATGCAACATTCGCCAAGCACTGAACATCTAATTAGAGATACTGTAGTGTAAAAATGTTGTATACTTATTTTTTCATTGTAAGTGTTTTTTTTTTTCAAATATTAAAAAATCAAGAAACTGAGCCAATGTATTATTATGTATTATCAGTACTGTTCTGATAATTAGACCAATTCAGTAATACCAAAGCATAAATGTGGTTCGGATTCCACCATAAACTGTAGAACAAGACTACAAGATCGTGCCACTCATCCTACACTCATCTCCATTCATACTTGGCTTAAAATGCCTACTTTGTATGGTTGTCCTTTCAATGAACAGTATTGACAGTATACTGATCAAATCTCTAAGATAAATTCTCTAAGAGATATGAACCTGTTTAATTTAAATTTACCAAGGCATATTGGAGTTTGCTCAGTAGATTTGAAACGTAGGATTGTATTATTTGACCTAACCGTACAGTTTTGTAGTATAGCTCGTGACACCTAAGCTGGCATTTGGCCTAGCGCGGGCAGTGTATGCAGGAGGAGGGTGGAGGTAGGGAAAAGACCTGACTCCCCTTGTATTATGTAGGTACTTGAGCGCCTTCATATGGGTCGCGAGGACAGTTGACGCAACCGCATGACGGGACATAATGTTTTTGAAATAGGTACTAGTAGCGATCGGCCGAGTGCCAGCTTAGATGTCACGAGCTCTACCTATTCTATATTGTTCCACTTTTGTTAGAATTACTGTAAGAAAAAGGAATATAAGTAGGCCTAAAATATTAATTAACACATACTGTTCCCCTTAAATGGTTGTGAGCAAACAAAAAATATGGTTATCTGTTGTTTTAGATTGCAGGTTTCTTGTTTTACAAAATTGCTAAAATATAATTAGCCTACTACTTAACAGATGTATTTCATACCAATATGGACTTTTTTAGATGGCGGGAAATGTCTGTTTGACTATACTAACAGAAGAAAGATCAAAATGTCAGCTGAGAGCCACAAAAATAGTGAGTAAGTATTTTTGTTTTCTATAATACTCTATCAAAATCAGTATAATCTTTTAGTTACATCTTTAGGACAATACTATTCACCTTTATCTTTTCTTCACCCTGTTGACTGTATACGATATAGTATATTAATATAGTTCATGTAGTAAAACCTTAGCTTTAAGTGATAAGTCCAAACTAAAAATGTTCTAGGGAGCAGAAAAAAGAAAATGAAAAAGAATTTGAGTACATTCGCCTGCAACTCGAAGAGTTTTCTGTTTCTGATAGTTCTTCAGCCAAGTCTACTGTGAAAACCAATTCCGGGTTGACATCAACTAGCAGCACTACTGTACGTCCAGTAAGTATATATCAATCCATTAAAATACATTTAATAAACAATATCAAATTGGTTCACTTTTACTTTAACAACATTGTTGTAGATTGAATGATTAATAAAAAAACTAGAATCTTGCATGAAATAAAACTAACAATATGAAAACACTAACAGTATAAGACAAAAACAATGTATAAACATTTATACGGCTGTTACAATGTAAAGATAGAAAGTATGACAAACAGTTAAACTCCTTCAGTTTTTACCTTTACTTCACCACTGATCCTAAGAATTACCCAGGACCGCAAAGGTTAGATAGCATTTACTCGTGGTGTAGTGGTAACTCATTTTGCTAGTTTCTCTTTGATAAGTCACTGCCAAACAGTTTTCACTAAAGTCCTTCTTATTTCATCAGGAAGTTGAAGCATTCCAGAGGTTTTTACACATCGAAGGAGGACACTACGGTGGCTGGAAAGAAAAAGATCACTTGTTCTTCCTCAATACCAGGAAAAAATACCCGTTAAAAAAAACAGCAGAAATAGTCCATGAGAATCTTCCAGGTAAACACATTTTCTTACATTACGCTATTTAGGATATATTTGATGTTTTGATTTTGTGTTTTTCAGCTCTGTTGGCTTTGTTAAAGATGGTCTGTTGGTTTCGCGATATGTTGGCACTGATCGCGTAAAGACTATTCACGCGAGTTGCTTACACTACTTTACCTACTAACATTTTAATCAGGCCTACTAACAATCACTACTCATAACTTCTAAGAGATGTTATGTTTTGTTTATAACCTCATTGCCACGGATAGTGATGCAACGACTCATTGTACCAACCCCCCATAAGCAATTAAATTGGTCTTAACAGCTGATATGTGTGCGTTTTTGCAACATTTTGTATTTTTTTTTTTTTTTTTTTTTTTTTGTGACGAGACTGATAGCATGTAATTGTTGAGTGGTCAATAAATTCTTGATTCTTGATAAGATGACGTTCGAAGCAATACAATTTTATTTCTTTTCTCTCAATCCTTGAACCTAATTGGTCCGTTTCTAGTGTTGTAAAGTAAAAAAGCAATGCTTTAAAGTTAGTAAACAATGCTGTAAAGTGAATCATTTTAATTCTAAGATAACTGAACTGAAAATAAAAAAAATGTTTTTGGTTTGTACCAAATCCTGACCTTGTTACTGTTTTACGCCCTTCTGTTCTTTAATTCTTTAAACCCTTGGATAACTTAGTTATTTATTTAAGAATTTTTTATCAAGTTTTCTCTATTAACAAATGTATAGATTAGGAATGGATAGGTCTGATTTAATTTGGAAAACATATTCCCGATCATCAGGACAGGATTAAATTTGGTTTGGGATTCTCCCAGGATATGTTTTTTCTCAATTGTAAGCGATTTCGCTGCGTAAGTCAATACATGACGACAATGATGTATCTGTGACCGCGGAGATGTTGCCTATATGGCGAGTAACTATGATGATGTCAACAAGATTGCGGGACTGGTTGACAATTGCGACTTGACCGCAAGACATGTTAATAATCATGGCATTGCAGAAGGGGGGGTTATTCACGATTCCTCTGTAATCACAGAAAGTATTTACATTGGTGCGGATTATAGTCATGATGATATTGTAGGTACTTTTTACAAAATGTATGATTACTAAAGCTAATATATTTTTTTTATTTTGGGAACCATAACAAGCCTTACAACTTTAGACAGTTTTAAAAACGCAATGATGGTCAGTTTATATACTTCTTTATGGTTAGCGGTATTTTACAGCTAGACTGATGTTCGACAGTTAAATTACGCCAAATATAAAACTTCATTAGTTAATCGTTTTTGTTAGGTATTTCACACAATATTGATTTTGTAGTACAGTACCGTAAAACAAATACTGCAAATTAGTTTAATATACAATATTATTGCTCTCTGCAAGAATATTTACTGAAGATTATTAAAACGACCCCTTTTTTGCATAAGGAAAATCATTTCCTGTCTCATCCAATCTGAAAATTAGAAGGAAATAAAAATTCCCTCCAAAACTGAAAATACCAACCTTGGTCATCCTTTAAAAACTAAATTCTGTTAACACAAGATTTTGGTAGATAGACACACAATAAAAATTAAAGCAAAAAAATTAAGCAAAAAGTATGAAAACACCAGACAAACAGTTCACCTACTCCACCAACTTTCTCCCAAGCTTTCTACTGTTTATCAAGTGAGCCTCTCCAATGGCCAAACTCCAATGACGAACTGCTCATGAGCTATTCACTAACTAAGACGGGTTTCAAACCATCAATCTGTGATGCTGTCTCCTGGCCAGGGAGAAAACACCTTAGATTGCTTATCAAATCTAGATGCACTTACTTACTACACTGGTCAACCAAAGTCCAAGTGTCAATAGTTCTAAGCAGTATGTCACACAAATTTTCTATCTAAAACTATTCATAGAAAATGCACTCCATATTTGAGGCTCTATTCTTCGAGTGTCTATTTCAGCTATATTTTAGTATCCTTACTATCCTAGTTACAAAGATTAATACATTTCTTCAAAAGGCTGGTTATTGAGTGAGTCAAGAAAGTAATAATAACAGCTGGCGAGGAACTTAACAATTTTAAGTAAATTACAAAGTTGTAAATTGTAAACATATTGTTCCAGACATTAGTTTGGAGAAAGTGATAGCACATGAGACCTGGTATAACGAGTATCTAAAATTGAAAGCTGCAAAAAAGACCGCAATCGAAGAGTGGAAGAAGACTCAAAAGGCAGTAAAAGTTGTAGAGAAAGAAAACTCACAGCCTTGCCCTCAAACTGAACCAAAGCATCAACCAAAACGGGACCCCAACTTGAAAGAGAAGATTGAAATTTGGAAAGTAAGTGGAGGTTTTAGCTGTTTGAACTTATTTTACAATACACATAATATGGTGTCTTCATCTTTGACCTACCAGATTGTGTCTATTACTACACTAATAAATAATAATTAAATAAATGGTATCAGCAATCTGACACATACTTTCTCCCCTTAACTTGTCAACAACCTTTATCATGGGTAAGCGGTGAGTATTCTCACATTATTAGCGTTGACTTACTAACCCTATCAACTTGATTATTCATTCTTTTTATGCAGTTTTGTATTGATAAAATCTTAAATATGTTTTGTATTTAGGCCCATTGTGTTGCTGCCAAGCTGGAAAGAATGGAACAACAAAGAAAAGAAGAGATGAAGAAAAAGAGAGAGGATGAAGAAAGAAAAAGGCATCAGGTATGTGATGTTTAAGCGAGCATATGTGGATAATACTTGAAGTGAGTGTTAATGTTGATATATTTAAATTCTACATTTTCTACCACTTGGTAGATTTCTAATACATTAGGTAGATTGCCTGTTTGGATAAATTTTTGCATTGTAATACCCCATTATTTTACATATAACTTTGAATAGTTTTTTTAAATATCCAGGAAGAAAAAAGAGCTTTGGTAAACCGTTACCGAGAAGACAAACTTAGCTTTGAGTTGGCCTTGAAGACGGCAAAAGAAACTGAGGAATTGGAAGCTAAAAGAGAAGCAGCGGTGAAATCTGCCACTCTTCTAAAATATTTCAGGTTAGAAGAATAAAGTAATAAAAATTGTAGCTTTTAAAGGTAGGGATGGGAAAATTCATGTACCGTAATTGTAACCATTTGTCTAATAAATGTTATACTCTCGCCCAATGATTGTCTAAGTAAATTGGGTTCGATTAGAAGCCCAAGATCCATAAAAGTGGCATTATTTGCATTTTTTTGTACAGTTAGTTTAGCTTATTTTATTAGATTTCGTAAGGGCATTTTGAAAAGCTCTATAAGACTCTTAAACTGGTAGACTATAAAAAAACCATATGAAATGTTTAAAATTCATCTAACTTTAAATAACTGACACTTTTGTTGGTTTTCCTATTTTAAACTGTTGGTTCGGTTATTTGAATTCATTGTGTTTTTATACATTTTTCCTCGATTTGGTAGTCACTAAAAAGTACTTCACTTAATCAATTAAATGACTTCTTGTGACCTAGGTATGAAGACAGAAGATTTACAGAACGCCAGATAGCCAAGAAGCAGCCTCAGGTCAAGCCTGAACCAAGAGTGAAGAGCGCAGTGGAAGTCAAACGAGATCCAAACCGTCTCCTGCAGCCGACCCTCGGGTGGATCTATCACACTCGACGGCGCAGTGAGACAGACACGGATACCAACCTGACCACACCGATGGACCTGAAGCACATGCCTAGACTGTGAGTTGACCACTTGTCGGTTGGAATTTATTTATTAGAATTTTAGATATTTATTCTTTTATTTCATTGCCTGATATTGTAATACATTACCAACATATCGAATTTGGTTTTCATGACATGCGTACAGTAGTTTTAGGACCTTGTTCTTTCATCCCTATGATGAACAAGTGTCAGCTGGTGTCAAGGACATATGCTGTACGTTATCTGTCTGACTTTAAACATCACCTGCTGTTTTTGCTAAAGAAAATAGCCAAGATTAATACAGTAATGTGGAACTATTATTCATTATTTTATGCCTATTGCGACCGACTTTTCCTGGAAGGAAAAATATATTCACAGATGTTGCAATTGTTGCCAAGGTAGTTCAGCCTACCACGGCTAGGTGAAATTCCATGGTCTGCAATAAGGGAAACCACTAGACTAAAAGCCGGGTCTAACCAGTATAGGGGTGGCTCATATACGGGCACTGGGCACTGTGAACAAGTCAAAACCAGTCACCAAACAATCGTGCACTAATTACCCCAGGGCCCAGACCTACGTCGATTCTCTACTCTAGTATGGGGTCATTACTGACCTCGCAACTCAAGCTTTGGTCTCATTAACCTCTAATTAAGTCCTAAAAGCATGTAAGTGACAAATACAACACATCCTTACAACAATTGTAAGGTTTTGGATTAATATTTTTAGTTGTTTACAGGTTTAGTATTATTTGTATTTGATAGCTTGACAAAGATCAGGTGAAGTCTACTTGGCCACTGGACACTAAAATCCAGAGTACAACTCGTAACACGCACAGGCTTAATGATCAAACAAAGGTTCACTCAAAAACGATAATTTTAAATAATAATCAAGGTAGGCTGCTGCTTCCCTAACTCAACAATTTGCGTGCAGATGCAAAACCAAATCTTATTGCTTTGGGAAAAACGTGTACATAATCTTCTTGTCACATTGTATATATCGCTAGGCTAAAGTATCAACCACCCTTCATTGACTTAACGACAAGTGATTATGTAAAAGAATATCAATGATTTGAAAATGAATTCATTGTTGGTTTGTTGGAGCAATACATTTTGCATTTGAATAATAGAAATAGATGGTAGTATATAGTACTATAGTAGCAAAACAATAATGGAACCATTTAAGAGCTGATTTTTAAAGATGTATTGTAATCTCCCAACAATGTACTTAATCTTTTATTTGTGAATTATTAGCCGAAATATTATGGAGAAGTGTGAAAATAGTTATTTGTGTAACTAGTGGGCTAAGTGGCACTTGCAGCAAAGGCAGTTTGCTCTCGCGTTACACATTATATTTTTCCTACAGTTACTATAAAGCACATAAATAATTAGTCTTTCAAACACTGTACAACACGTTTTCAGGTTAGGTTAAATCCAAACATTGAACGAAATGGGACACATTGAACTTATTTTCAAGCGTACACATTACGTGCCGAATAAAGCACGCTGTTTTGTTTTATTTGGTTGCAATACTGTTGTGCGGCAAAAGTAAAGAGTGTGCGGGCAAATGTAAGTAAATACAGCAATTAGCACCCACTTTGTCACGTGACTGTAGGAAAAAAATATTGTTCATCACTATTTTGACCCTTTTGAATCCTGTGTTGGCAGGAAGAAGCCAGCCTGGAGAAGAGGCCTCACTTCCCCATGACAGCATTGTGATCGTCAAAACCCCATAATGTTCCTTCACACACAGTCAGAAATTGGATCTCATCACTTCAGTATGGTGAAGTTGTAGAATTTGTTTACAATTTTCTATTCGTAAGGATTTATATTTTAAAGACAGATTCTCTATAAATCATTATTTTATATTAATATTTACAATGGAGTAAAATATATGTCAGTTGATCAGCCTTTGAAGTAGAATAGGAGACCTAATGAGTTGAGAAAATGTTTACTTACTTTAATTGAAAACCAAATTGGTTTTTAGCCGCACCAAGACACATCACATACCACATATACCAACATTCCTTCTACCCTCTTTGGTACTTCTACAATTAATTTATATGAGGTATTTTCTATTTTTTGCATTTTGTTCTTTTTATAGAGGTCAAATTCCTTCCTGTTAACCTTTCCAAACCTTGTTGATGATTGTGTTTTTTATCTCTTCGTCCTACTTGGCCCAAACATCTTGTTTTTTTTTTTTTTACTTTAAATTATCTCTTTAACATCAAGTTCTTTGAATAACTCACAATTAATTATCTTTTCTTTCTCATTCCCAAAACACTATTTCCTGAAATAGCCAAGTACTTTTTTAAACTGTTCTGATTTTTCTCAAGGATTTTTTTTTCTGAGGGCATCAACATGACGTAACTTTTATTGGTGTTAATCTGTAAACACACTATTTTGTATTTAATGTGCCTTCAGTCACATTTTTATTTAGTATTAGCTTTGACTATTTAGGCTATAAGAAGTATTATTTGTTGGTGTTAAATTGTACTCGGCCCATTAACGATTTTAAAGAAAAGGGTTTTACAAAAGCCGTTAAATTTACATAATATTTTTTGCATTGAGTGAACTTTAACTTTATTAAAAATGCACATTAATCTTTCTTTTTTCTGATTTTTTTAGGAGTGTAAGATTCAAAATTGTAATGTTTGAAAGACTTCAGATTTGACTGCTGAAGTTTTTAAATGCTAAGATAAATTCTAACGAGTGTATGTTCTAGAAATACAAACATTTTTAGTGAGCTTGTAGATCTAATGAAGTAACAATTAATAAATGTGCTTTTAAGATATTTTGATATTTTATATACTCTCACAAGGTTAGCACTAAACCAAATATTTTGATATTCATTATTTATTTATACTCTTGTAAGCTTGTCAAACAAAATATTTTGTATGATTCTAAGCACATTGTTATAAGTCATTACAGTTTTATATGCAAAATATATATTTGACAAAAAAAATACACCATTTTTTTTCTTTTTCATATAGAATTTCTATTTGGTCAAGTTTATTTAGTGATAAAATGGTACTCAGTTTTATAGTATACAACATTTGGTTTTACAATTATGGAATTTTTATGTATATATACTGTTTTCTCCACTAACTTATTTAATAGTAAGCTTATTGATGGTTCTTTTTTTAGACCAGTTTTAACTTTGACATTCAGAGGGCAAAGCCAAAGAGAATTTAAGAACATAAATATGCCTACTTGTTGGCCTGGCTTTTTATATATCTTTGTGTAGTGTAACGTTAGCCTAGTGGGCTCAGTAGTTTTTTTTGTTCCTCCAGAACACACACAGACAAAAAGCATTTGTGTTTAATAATATTACAAATAAAAACTACCATGATTATTACTGTACAGGAACATGACAGTAGTTCCATTAGACACACCTAGACAATTGGTCTGTGTTTTAAGCTGTTAACTAAACACTAAAGAAATTTAAGCTTTTATCATTTCACCTTGTACTTTAAAACATTTAAAGGTACAGCGTAGTTACCACAAATTATGGAGGTGGAGACTGTGATTTTACATTAAGGTTTTTATCTTCATTTTTCTTCAATTAGGTTTTGTTGACATTAAGACTGGGAAAGTGAAGGTAAATAACAAATATATAGTTTATTTTCAAATACTTATAAATATAAAAATACACTGTACACATATTTACAAAAATTTACAGAATATCACAGAATACAAACACAATGACGATATATCAAGATGTAATGATACTTAATGAGGTACAAAGGTTTGGAGTATCTTTGGATGGTAATGAAAACTCACTTGATGTCCAAAGTAAGTTTTATGTAGAATTACGATAACTTTAAATATCAGTTCTATACAGTAATGATTTACACAGATCAATACTATGATACAGAAGCAAAGCTATATTTTTGTAAGCACAATTTCTAGAATACTACGTTATAGAATAACGGAATAAAGTTTTTTCCTGTTCAATCACCACTTTCTAAAAGAAAGTCGCATAATCAGTCACTTTTGCCAGAGGTCATGGAGTAAAAATATGTTTAAATTTAAAGTTACACCAAATTTATTAGTTTTTGCTACTGTAAATACTTTTAAAATTACGATTTGAAAAATATTTCTTATAAAAAATAGAAGCATATACTTTTTACTTTTTCTATCTTTTACCCTTTAGAGTGTGAAAAAGACGTTATCCTCTGTTTCCCACAAAAAGTAACTTTCCACTTAAATTAGTTGAGCCCTGAATATTGATTATTCACAGGTTTTCATGATTTGACGCAAAATTATATCAATAAAACATGAGAATGTTATTTAGTGATGGGTTGAGTCCTTTTCCAGCTCTAGTTGATTGCTAGTGGTGATTCCAATTAGACTCTACGCTACAGAAATAACTTGATTGCCATTTACTGGGCAAATTTTCTTGGATGTATTGACTCAAATGTAAACTGTTTGAAATACTAATAATAATAGATGTTAATCTTTGAACACTTATAATAGTCATGCATTATATGTCTGAAGTGTTGCAAAAAGGATATTAAAAATTAAAAAAGAATATTAAAAATTCTGCATTTTTTTAATTCCTGTAAAGCTTTTTGGTAAAAAAAACTCATTTTCGTAGGCAAGTAAAAGATTAAACTCAATCAATATCACAGCAGGATAGACTACAGTTTATCTTTACTCCCTAAAACAAGTCTTGACTCGCTTGGCCTTTTATGCCAGTAGAACTTTTTATCCAAGAATCCCAAATGCTTTTAAGGGAAATTTGTCCAAACTGATACTTTTTTATGGATAGCCAAAATTTAACCACCTTTGCACCGAAGTCCAAGACAGGTAACACTATTGTAGCAACATATTGTTTTCAATTTGAACTACGAAAATCTAAGTCAGATCAGGACCAATCAGAGGTGGAGGGATAAAACTATTTGGAACACTCAAAGTCGACTCAACCTATCACTAAAACAAGTGTTTACTGAAAAGCAAACAGGATGATGAGTAGAGGTACAGCAAGGACGCAGACTACGTAGAGAGCGGTCCTAGGCTCACAGGTAGATACTGCAAGGAACTCTTCATTCCACAGGGTGTCATTAGATTTAACTGGGAGTTCCAAGATGACCTGGAAAGTTATTTACGTTAGTTACCTAAATTCTTGATTACTTAGATTGTGTAAGTGAACTGTACATGCAGTGACAGTATCAGGCAAAAATTCTTAGTTATGTTTGTAGAATATCTTTTGGGTCAGAATTCTACCTTATCCTCATCCTAGAATCTTACCTTATCCTTGGACCAGAACCTAAGAGGCAAGGAACATGACCCAGTCTGGTTGCGGCAGGAAGCAACTGCGTTGGACACATTGTAAGTGGTCTTCTCTAGACGGAAATGTATGCTCAGAAAGTTCGGCTGAACCTCGTTCTCGCTGTTGAAGACAAAGAAGTAATATCCGTTGCTTGGAACTCTGAAATAGAACATAAACTTTCAAGAACCTGAATTAATTGGAACTTAAAGTTACAAGTATTGACTGTTGGATACTGGAGTGAACATCCGATCATTATGGACCACCCGTCGCCAGTTTTTTATTAAAAAAGAACAGTTGTGTAATTTAGTTACAAAATGCGCTAGTGTCTAAAATGTTATTTTCTACCTTATTTTTTGCTGGCATAGTTGATAGGTCATAAAAGGTTGTTTTAGCTCACAATGGAATGTCTAGTGTATCGATAGATTACAAGTGAACAGAACTAGCTTTGCCTGTGCTTTAAAGTGTGACCACAGAACAGAAAATGTTATTTTTTTTTTAAGAGGTTGGCAGCCTCTTTTAACCTTGCATTTGCCTGTCCACATAGGCTATGGACCTGTGCATGGAACGTATCCAGCAAAGCAAGGGGTGAGCCATCACAGTACAAGCGTGAACTGTACGGATAAAAAGTAGACGAAATTTTCATGATCCAAACCCACCATCACTGCCTTGGGCCCGAAGCCCATGATACTACCGACAAATGATCATGTTTTCTTTACTTAAAGCTACAGAAGAAAAACAGCTTCACCACAGATAAGAGAATATATCACAGTTTATATAATAATCTCATTGTATAATGATTAAGTTCACTTTTAATTTGATTGTCATGGAGGCCTTTTAATATTTCCCTAAAAACCACCTCATGTTTTTGAAGACTCGGCAAAGGTCTAACAAAAAAACAAAATATCAATATGGTTTTGTTTTAGGTAGGGGAAGACAGGTGGACATCTTATTTGATTTTTTTCTACATCACTTATAGCAATTGTTGGATCCACAACATTACTGAGGTGAAATAATTTTCACACCTAGAATGGAAGATCAGTTAAATCCAGGCCCCACTAGAAAAACAGGCCATGCTGCAGTGCGGGCAGCGCAACACTCCGTCACAGTGGTGGATAGTTTGTAATAAAATCTTACTGTATCTGACAAACAGCCGCTTATTTACCTAAAGCATATGGGATATTGCAGTGAATCTATCCTCTAGTGTGACGTTATGGATCCTTCAGCATGGCCTGTTTTTCTAGTAGGGCCTTGGTTAGATGCACTTTGTTGCTAAATAAGATACGCTGTTTTATTATTAAGGACAGCTGGGTAAAATTTCCAGCCACAAAAAATCCTCTTAATCTCTTGATTGAACCACTGACCTTCTAATTGTACAAGCACTATAACCAGTAAACACTCAGTTACCCATATCTGATATGTCGAAAAATGATTATCTATTCGTTTCAAATTGAAAATAAGGATAGGCTAAAATATATCTCTTAGTTTAAATTTGTATGTTCCATTAACGTTCCCCATAAAAACCACCTTAAAATGACTAAGTTATGAAAGATGTTAAGACACTCGGTCAATATTATAGTTTCATATAAACTTTTTTGTTAAAATTTGTCATAACAACATCTGGATAATGGAAGTGCTGTGGAATGTGGTCGGGTTGGTACTGTATCACACGGTATTAAATACCTCTTTATCCAACAATAATGTTATAGATAAAGATTAAAGATACAAATATTGTTATTCTGTTTTTAAAAGATCTTAACTTTTTTACATTTAAATTAAATGCATGATTACAAAATACAATAAGTCCTCTTAACCTTTTATAACTTTATCTTAGCACAGCTGCAACTTTTAAGTAGGCGAGCTAAAAAATTAAGACTGCTGATAAAGTTATGAAGCACGTGTTAGAGACTATGCTTAATCTAGTGATAATAATACCGTTGTCACGTTTAAGGTAATCAAGGCCATGAGAAGTACACCGGCTGCTGAATTAATTTCGCAGCATCGAAAATTATTAACAAGATATAATGCAAAATTCAGCGTTTATGACCTAAATTTAGTTTTAATGTTCTTGTATCTTTATTTTTTAAGCTTTCATGAACTGTTGCGATCTGTCAGACTTTATATAAAAATACATCAGTAAACAAATGAATCATAAAAATTAATTAAGTATATCTCTTAACCCTGTCTAAAAATGTATGTAGTCTAGATAAAAAATGTTACAGTCATACAAAAAGCTTGCACCAATACAATTGGGATAAACATAATTTTGTCTACATAGTAAATAGAATATTATTTTAGTGAAAACCAGGCCTATATAAAGTAATGCTTTTTAAAACCTTCAAAACTTGAATAGAACGGATTTTACTTTCATTCTTTACTTCCGGTTTCTTGGGTCTTTAGGGCTTGTTATGTATTGCTTAGAAATTAAAGCTATTAAGTCTTGGGAACAGCAAAACTCTCAAATTTCTTTCGGCTAATAAAAGTGCTACACGTGATTCACAGTAAAATTGTATATCCATAAAATTTATCTACTCGAGTTATTAATAGACCAAATTAGTTTTTAGAGGTTGGTCAAATAAAATGGTCTTTGATACAGAGAATTATCTCTCAATAATTAACAAACAGGCCACTTCTTAGTGCTTATCAACAGTTAGATAAGAGAGTGCTTGTAGTAATTTCAGGAAAATTATTCAATTTAAAACTCTTTATGTTTATAGATTTGAAAGTAAATAGACATTGTAATAGAGATCAAGTACCAAACCCCGCACTCTACCACTAGACCATCTCGCTTCCCAGTCTACTTTAGTTCCCAAAGTCAATGTTACTATTGATTATATACTGATTTATTTAGACAATGCTCACTTGTACGAAACCGTGTTGATACTGGCAGCCCTCGCGAGAACATTCTCAGGTCTGTGAGCTTCACACACAGGGTGAGGAGTGAGGGGGAGGTTGAGCAGGAGCCCCTCACACTCGAGAAGTTTCTCCTCACTTGACGAGAATGAGGACCAGTACTCGCTCTTGGACGTGTCGTTAGGAGTTGACTGGTTAAAGTGACCTCGGATTTCCGCCACGCCATCGGGCTGATGCTCTACCTTCAATGGAAATCAGAGTTAGAATTACAGTAAATTAAAAAAAAAAATACAATAATGTTTAGTAATAAATATCGTCGTACACTAAAAATTTATTTTAGTGGCAATCTAAATACAAGAAAGTATTGATAGCATTGCCACCATGCAAATTTTAAGCTTAATATTTGAGTGCAAGATGAGTGTTGAATGGAGTGAGATGATTTCTAGCTTTGTTACTGACCAAGATTAGGTGTTTCTATTTAAGATTAATGAAAAAATTAAGATTAAATCGGTCCCCCGTCTAGATATCACATGAGACCTATATTAATCGCTTATTCCCTATATGGGAAATTCCCAAAAATTATGTAAAATAGTGAAGTAAACCCATTACAAATATTTCATCCTGAAAATAAATCTGACCCATGACTTTTTTCACGTTTCTTTCATAAGTAAAAAAGTTTTACATTTTAGAAAAATAAATTTTAATGAACTATTACCCCTTCTTCTCCTGCATGGTCAGCAGCTTCATCGTGTCTTTGCAATTGTGAAACCGTTTTGGAGGGCGTTGGGATTTCTCTTCTCCTTCGCTTTTTGTTCTTCAGATCATTCTTATTACTCGCTGGATTGATTTTTGTCAACTTATCCAGCATGGTTTCCTTCTCTAAAGGCTTCTCAGAAGTTTCCTCCGTAGCATTAATCTTAGTCACATTAGTTTTTACCTCCTCGCTCAGTTTCTTCTTCAGTTGGTCCAGCATCACCTTACCTTTCGGACCCATTTTCTTAAGCTGCTCCAGCATTTCGTTGTATACTTCTCCCGAGGTTTTTGATTTTTCTGTCGTAGTTGCAGGAATGTTGACCACGTTCGGGTTGATCTTGTATTCCTCTTTGTCTTTTGTTTTCTTCGGGTTGATAAGCTGTTCTGCGTAGACCAAGTGTACATTCTGATCTTTCTTGTTGTCCACTTTCCAATTATTCTTCAGCGCCTCCTCCACTACTGCCGAGTGAGGTGGTCTATGATGATGTGATTGGGATGAGATGTCAATGTGTTCTTCAGTCTTCTGATCAATGAAGATTCCGTCACTCACTTTCTTCATGCTGGTTGGTTTGTTTGAGATGTCGTAATCAGCAGACACAGAGTTGTTTCCGTCGCCTTCAAACAGCTCGTCTAGTTCCTCGGATGAGTCGTCACCGATATAGGCACATTGTTTGAGGTGTTTGTGACCACGGATCATGATGAGGCTGGCTCCCGGCCATCTGAAATATTGATGGGTGATTGATTGCCCAATTAAAAACAATATTACCCATATGGTCAAATTTTAAGTTAATAGGTTTTATTTTTGCAACTTAACTACCTGTAAAAAGTTATCATTATTGTGTTATAAGATGCTATTTAGATTTGTTTTTAATAGCCAGGGTACTTTTTACATCTTCTAGTATCAATTAGGCTAGTTTGTTTTTGGCAACCATCCATAACCTATTCTTACTCTCTTCTAGCTTTAACATGTAATTAGAAAGTGAGAGACTCAATAAGTAACAAATCACACCTTTTTCAAGGCTCGCAACTTTTCTTCTATTGCATAGGCCTTCTTCAGAATTTGAGGCATTATTTATTTTAGTTTATTCATTACATTATTGTCTAGTCTTTCAGTACAAATTTGTTTAAGCAAAATTTACAAACTGAAAAAATAGCAGGTAAACTCAAAATAAAGTTTTAAAAAATACAAAAGACAGTGAATTCTATAATTTCCAATTACTAAAAAAAATTAAATAGTTACTTTTGTTTCTCTCTAATAATGGTTTACTGGTTTTGAATGTTTTTATAGCATAATCTTTACAAAGTTGTTCTTTTAAAATGCTACATTTAATCTTAAACTATTTTCACTTTGTGAAAGTTTTACTGTATGAACTTTCTTCAAGATTCTTTTCTCATAGCCTGATACGATATATCTGCAATTGATGTTTTAGATAAATCTTCTGTTAAATCTAAATAAGTTTAATAGTATCCTGTCTCATAGTTGATTCAATAATCTAAATTATAAGATCTCAAACATAAAAATGTATCTGCAAGTTTAAAGTTGTCCCTCCATTTATTCCAATACTACACCCACCTCACACAAGTAGACACCGTGACTGTGGATCCCTTTAGCAGGTAGAATCCCCAATACTCCTTCATGTCATCTTCCAACACTAGATGTCGAGTCATCGCAACTTTCACAGTGTCCGGCCTCATCTCTGGCTGTTCTGACATGAGGTAGGCGTTAAACGTTGCATTTGACCACACCACTTGGCGCTGGAACCATTTAACACTTTTATAAAACAATACAATTTAAAACTTAATAGATTGTGAAATCTGATTTTTAAATTTCACCACAAAGAAGGAATTACAGTGGGCTACATTCATTATTTGTAGTGTATTAACTTTAACTTTAAATTAATTGTATATTTCTCGATTTGTAATTCTCATGGTACTTGTATTAAATTTGCTAGCTTGATCCATGTACCGTTAGATGTTATACAAAATGACACGTCATATGGCCTGATCAAATAAACTAACCACATTGGTTGTTCCATCACACCAGTTCCAGATGTGACAGTATATTGTTTCAAAATTGTAATTGCAGTATCGTATTGTAGTAAGGTTAGCAGGACGTGTATAAACAACCAGGACCAATTTGGAGGATGACTTTGAAGACGATACCTCCGCAATATTAAACTGGGACGTGAAAAGATGGAGATTTGGGTCCAAGAGAAAGAGAAGTGGAGGCATACATCTTAAACCGAGGGTGTACAATAATTGTAAAACCATTATGCTTTTGTTTGTTTTTGGTTTTTTTTGTGCACGGCTGCAAATCTTATTTCAAAAAAGATTCTATCATTATTCTATGTAAAGTAATCTATTCTATATCAATCCACTTATCATAAGTTTCTTGCATTATTGATTAGCTCAGAACCATTGGTGTGTATTTAGGCAAGAAAGAGTTAAGAATGATAAATACTTAGGAGAAGAACATTAAGCTGGTTCTTTGGCTAGTACAGTTTATTAAATGGTCAATAAGGTAAACGCACCAGTAGCTGACAGTATAAGAAACTATACGCAATTAATAATCCCTGGTTTTGAATAAATAGGAACTAAAGAGATATTACGGATTTTATGTGATTCTAAATTTACTGTAGTTTTCAAATTTGTCATACAAAAAAGGTTTTTTAAATATATTTTATAACATTTTTAAACTTAATTCAACCTTTGTACGTGCTCCAGTGGCTGACAGTGAAAAAAGTGCTTGTACCAGTAGCTGACTGTCGGTTGTCCCAGTAGCTGACACTGGAACTATAAATGTACTAGCTGCTAAACCTAAGGGTTTTATAATTTATAAGACAAATAAAATCTAACTTAATAATTAAATTATAAAATCATGTAAAACGTTAATAAGAAAATGTATTTTATATATTTTAAAATAAAAAATATTTACATTAAAAAATATAAATATATTTTATATATATAAAAAAATATACATTTTTTAAGATAATTTGGCTTATAAATTAAAAAATTAAAATAATTTTATAAAAATGTGAGATCACATAAATTATAAATAGCATGCAAAATTCGATGGGTAAAACCAATTTAATATTGTGCAAGTAGCAAATATCCCCTGTCAACAAGTGGAACTTGTATGGCTTTTGTGTACCAAAGCCTGACATTGATATAATTTTAAATCCAAAACCCCTAATACCCCAATTTTATCATGAAATTGTCAACAAAGGTATAATTGATAAAAATAATGAGCCTAATCATTAATACTATTTAAGAAATTTAGCGAAATGACAAAAAACCAAACTTACTTTCTTAACAATTTCATTAAGGGAATCGACTAAATGTGATGTGTACAGACAGGGCCGTTTTCAAACCACCACCATTCTGCGAGTATGGGCTAAATTTCCCTGATTTGTTTGCAAACAAATCAAGAATATACATATGTTCTTCTAACAATGCAATCATGTGTAAATATTTTTAAGAGACCACATTATAATGTTAAGAAACTCAAACTGTCAGCTTCTGGAGCACTGTCAGCTACTGGTGCATTTACCTTAGCAAGGACAGCTGAGTCTAATTTCAAACTAACAAACATCTCTTCTGCTTTTCTCTTTTCTAAGGATCAAACCAGCTCAATTCGGTTGAATTGTCGAACACTGTATATTCATTCAAATAAAATTTCAAATTAATGTACAACAAATCTTCAAACTTCAAACAAATTGCCAATATCCATAAAAAGCCAATTCACAACTATACTCAATATTTCACCTTGGTCTTTTAATAACTGGCTAACACTGCTGATTGTAGTCGTTAGCATACCAGTCATCTCATTCAACATTAGTTCTTGGCCTTAAGGCGGCTCCAGACGTGCACCATTCGCCAAGAATGAAATGTTTGACGTTCGGCGATCTAGTTGTCTTGCTATTTGCCGATTAACGATTAGACGTCTACACACATGTGTTGTTTTCCAAGCAACTGTTCGTTTCGGGAATATCAAATATTCGTCCACTTTGATGTGTGCAAAAATAACGACAATGAACAGGAAAACACAAGCACGAATGTTTGCTGCTTGCCAAATAGACAAACACCTATCCACACTTACTACTCCCGATTCGGTGAGTTGCTGCTCGGTGCTTGGCGGATGGCACATGTCTGGAGCCGCCTTCGAAAACATATCCTGATGGTGTGTTTCCACCCTACAAATCTAATCTAGTTCTCACCTGACACCACAAAGTAGAAATCCTGTTATCCAATAGTCTCACATCACTCATACCCACAGGGTAGGCTTGTTGTATGTAAACATTGTACCTCATATACAGTGGTATGCTGAGCAGTAGGCCAGGTACTATGATACTCAGTACACATAGCCTGGCTACCCGGAGAGGCCCGTAGAGCGAACTTCGCTTGGACTTCTGCGCCTCTGAAACAAAAAGAGTTGATGATAATAATAGCAATGTTGTAATCTACCATCTCTACCTCTGTTGATGCTAAGTTCATAACTTTTCTATGACCTTAGAAGGTTTTTTTTATTGCACCTTGCTTGCAGTGGTGATTCCAATGGGGAAGACCTCCTACCTACACCCCCCCCCCTGCGGTAGCAGCCCCCTCTTGATAAGGTCCTAGAACCGCTACTGCTTGCTTCCCCTAGAATGTAACTTCAAACTTCTTTTCTGCACCTTTCTATACGTACTTGTATTGGTAGTTTGAAAGTTAAAGTGTATCATATTAAGATTAGACTTCATTAGATGTTTGGTCACAGACTTCTTTCAAACAGTGTCAATCACAAATTAATACAATTCACCATGTGCTAATAATGCTGGATACTTCTTCCTGTATTATGGAAGACTAGCAGAGTACCCGTCCTTCGTGCGGGATTGGCATATAAGTATAAAATGCTGAGTACAGTTATGAGAGCTTTGCGTTTGCAATGGGGGAGGACACAGTATAATAAAATTTGCTTCTTTAAATTTATGGTATAGTACTGTATTACACATCTACCATAGCCATAATGTTCTACTACTTCACCCAAACAATAGAAAAAAAAAATTATTAAAAATTCACAAAATATGACAAATTATTTGTGAAATTAAAAACATAAACATAACTGTAACTGACAGTTCTCATTGCGTATCACAGTTTTTTTGTTGCCGCCTGGGTCAAATTAGCTGGTTTCATAAATGTAAAAAATAATGGTGCTGCACCCTGTAGGTAAATCTTATAACTTTTAATGCTTTTGCATATCATAGAACCAACCTGTTTGGTTTTTGGTCAAAACAGCTGACTAAATTCTTTAATTCCATTTAAATATGAGTACTTATAAGGTTAACATGGGAAACTCCAGAGCCACTGGGGTGGAGCCCGAAAGGATTTTTGAGATAAGAACATGTCTATATGTTAATCGGAAAAGTGAGCTATCATCATGCCAAATTTCTGCCCAATCCGTCAAGTAATTCATCCGTGATTGAACTTCAAACAAACAAACACACAAACTTTCACATTTATAATATTAGTAAGATAAGATAAACCATTAAATCTTAAGAGTGAGATACCTAAAGATACACTCTTTCATATTATTGAAAATTGAAAAATAAACAAAGGCCTACTATAGCGGTCATTAGATTTTAGTAAACTTTGACTCAAACCATATGATGTAAAGGTGGCTTTAGAATGAGTAATCCATAGTAGACTGTTTAAGCAATGCTAAGTCATTAGCCAAAACAATGAATGTCATTATCAGCTGTTAAATCACAGACCAGCTGGTAGAATGTGTAATTGTCGTAATTGTAAACAAATCAGCAGCTATGCTAAACTGCTAATAAACGTTATCTAAATCTGTCTCTATTTTGCTCAACGTAATTTTAATTCTACTGACTCACAAAATGTTGTTGGGCAATTGTAGATTACTTGCTTACTCACAAAGAGGTTCTGGTTTAGGCAATGGTAGGATTAGCTCTTATTTCCCGTTTCCTAAGTTTGTGCAATCATGCATTTACTGAATCACAATGAATCCAGTTCGTCCTTCACAATGTACACATAGTGCTTCATTGCTCATACCATGAAAAATGTTAACAGTTTTCAAAACACTGAGATACTTTGTAATTAAATATAACTCAACAGTTATTTTACAGATTAACAATAAAAATGTTTTAAATTTTCCCAATATTAAAACCACAACCCTCAATCACCATGAATAAAATTTATAAAAAAATATAATTGTCGAATAGATAGTTAACCATGTTTATCAATGTTTATGATACTTGCTATTCAAGACTAGATTGAACCAGTTGTTTTTAACAACAAAGTTGAGAGAAATATTTAGATTGTAAAGTGAATAACAAAATTTACTATGTTGAACGTTGTCGTGATAAGGATTTATATTCAGGTACTGTAATGTTAAAGGTGTAGTAAACTTCCTTAAGAGGCACAGCATTAAAAATTAATAGGCTTTATCTTAGGTTGAGAACATATTTGTTGATGGTGAGCAAACATAAAACAAAAAATCTATTATTTTCAATAAACAAAATCTAAAAAAATTGCTTCGGTCAGTTAATTAAAGAAGTACCGTACCTATCGGATAAAGAATGTATCTCTGAAGTCAACAACTTTTTCCACTTATTTTCTCTTGGTAAAAGTATCGATGACGTAACTTTTCCAATATTAAATTCCCTTTAAGAATAAAATTGCTTAAATTCTTAACATTCAATTAAAATTAATTGTATATGTTTCTATTAACATACCGTACTCGTCTTGTAGACTGTTTATTTTTATCATTCGATTGAATACCATTTAAAGGTATTTCTGCTCAGTACCTATACTTTATAGTTTCATGTATTCCTCAATATTTCATAAAAACTCATCATTTGGTATTCAACCAAATAGAAAAAAGTACTTACGATAAAATTTGTCCTTAGCTAAGTTTCTATCACCACCAAACCTTTACCAGACTCTAAACACACATTAATGCTCCATATTAATAACTAATGCTTAGGACGGGCAATTATTTCTTGCTATATCCAAAGTAAATAATAATAATAGTTGTGTTAATTTATTTTAATGGCAATTTTAATCATCAGTACACATTGAGCTATCAATCATCAGTATATATGTTATGAGGTGTTTTCTCTATTCTAGCTTTTGAAATATAGACATCATCATTAGCTAAGAACCAAACATAAATAATTATGCAAATATGTAATTGAACCTTTAAGGTACAAAAAACTAAAAACCAACTTGGGCAATGGGTCCTAGACCAATAATGCCGTAATAACTAGATACTTTCCAATATAATGTGCATTGTGAAATACTTATACTGTAGAACAATCTGTCATTGAAAATTATCAAAAAAACGCATTGATCCAATTTGCCCTAAAACGGGTGGGCCAACTTTGTTTATAAACAAATACTTGTTTGGTAACATCTTGAGTAGTTTATGATCCAGAAACTTGTCAGGATTCAGGAAAGAGGTTTTGTTGAATATTCATGAGAATAGTTGGTCATATGGCCTTGAGTTGGAGCCAAAAGCAAAGCAATAATGTGGTCTGATCAGGGAGCGAAAACGTGCACGGCTGAAAACTACCTTTCTGCGGATATTTTTGTCGTGGGTCCATTCAAATGTTTTATTGAATTCTGGCCCCATGTTTACTTTGATGAAACTTGATTATTTATTTGGCCTTTAACTTGGATAGCTTTCGATGAAAACTCTAATATTGTTGATTTCTTTTGGTTTTGGATGTTATAATTATCATTCTGTCTAAATAACTAAACATCTTGTCTCGATGCATCTATTATTGGTGCATTTTTAGGCATTATGGATGAACGAAAAAACATTATTGGTAAAGACACTATTTACAACAATAGTACCAGCTGATTTAATAGCAAATTGTTTAGTATGAGTTATTTATATCTTTGTACTGAATCCAGGAATTTTCTCGCAGTTGGGAACCCCCAAATCCTAAAAAATACCTATTATGTTATTTAATTCGGTTTACACAAACAAAGCTTAACAGGGACCCCTAATTTGTTAGCAACTCTATTCGTCTGTTCTCTTTTGGGGAAAAAAAGGAAGGTACAGCAACGGATTAACCAACACATTTTAAATTACTTCTCATCCCATTGCAAATTTTGAAGCTCGTTTTCGAGTCCAGTTCATGTTGGTGACACTGATCGCTAGTGTCGACGAATTTTTGTTTCTATTATTTTGGGGGCAAATTCATGATTTGTGTTTAACTGTTCGGTTATATAACTAGGAAACGAGTTGTTGTTTATGTTTAGATCGTTTTATTTGGTTAAACGAGATTTTAAAAGACTGAAAGGACAAGAAACAAATTGTAAACCAAACTTGACCTCTACAGTGCACCGTACAGAACTAACCATAAAATTGGTTTCAGCTGTTCCATAAGGATGAGAAATCTACTAAGGAATAATTGTGTTCTATCCACGCTATAACCATTTTATAACCTACTTCCACGCAGCGAAATGATTATTTGAACGTTAATATAAGAAAAAAAAGAATATTTGTTTTTGTTGCCCATTGTAAGAAATGATACCACCGAAAAACAGCATGCTAATTATTTTAGTTGTGCAGTGCTGCTTCTTTATAAACAATGTCCGTAGAAATTGATAAACCTAAACACTGCTGCGAGGGGTTATTAAGCGGCTAAAGGGTGGCGTTCGCAGATGCATCCACAAAATTGAGCGGAGTCATCAAGGGTTCATATTATATTGTTTTTGTCATACTGCAGTAGAAACAGTCGTCATTGATGCATGCGTTGCGGGTCTAAAGTAGCATTTTTACTCTTTAGGGGATAAAATTCATTTTTTAGCCTCTATGGAGTAAAACTCAGCTGTTGTCAACTCAGTTGTAAATTTCTATTGTAAACGATTGAATACGTATCGAAATATATGTAACGATTCGTGCTTCATAATCATTTTAACCTACAGAGTCTACAGTCTCTTCCCATAGCATTTCAGCATTGCAGATACATTAATCCATTCCCACACTCAACACTGCCCACCTTTACTACTTCCTTCACCATCCCCTACGTCGTGGACCTGTTTCCCTCTCTTCCCATAGAATTTTAGGATTGCAGATACATTAATGTAATTGCCAAAGACAGTTCCCACACTCTGCACTGCAAGCCTTACTACTTCCTTCACCATTTCCTACGTCTTAGACCTGTTTCCTTCCCTTAAAATAGCATTGAAGTATTAGATACATTAATCTAACTGCCCAAACGGTTCCCTCACTCCGCACTGCCAGCCTTAACTACTTCCTTCACCATTTCCTACGTCGTGGGGCCTGTTTCCTTCCCATCTCATAGCATTTTAGGATTGAAGATACATTAATCTAACTGCCACAGACGGTTCTCACAATATGTTCATACTTTACTACTTCCTAAGCCACTTCCTACATCGTGGACC